GTGGTTTTTGATCCGAGCGTCCAATTTGTCCATAAACTTCTGGTGTTCGTCGCCGTCGTATATCGCTCTGCAATAAGACAATCGGCAAAGACATTAGTGTCACGGATGTAATGGCAAATCAAAGTGTTATATGAGATAATCAATGGATGGGCTGTGGAGGAAGCGCTAGTGACCTCAAGACATTGGCCACAGTACTCGTGTCTGAAGACTCGATCTCCAGAAGCAGGTGATCGTACTGTTGATCACTGGGCGGCACATCGATGGCCGCCGCCGTCGTCTTCGGCGCCTCCTGTGAGCCACTCATGTCTTGAGAGGATCACCGAATGGATCAATTGTTTTGCGACGACAGACACAACACAAGTGTTGACAACAAAATAGATAACAAATATATTTGTGTTTTCATAACATTTACACAAATAATAGGCGTTTATAACAAAGTGTCCATAAATTACGTCCATATTATTGGCCACACTTTGAGACACCGTTTGTTTACAATTGTATTGCAAACCAATGGCTTACGAATGACTCCCCTTTCGTTCATTTGGCGCACGTTTTCTATACTAATTGTGAACTATTTATGGACTGAATTGTTAATTGAATGACAATTTGATGATTGAATAACGCCTTTGAGAAATAACATTGTATTCACTTATCATTGCTATCAATGCTATCCGTAATGTGAAGGGTATTTGCATTACACATACCTATTGTAATGCACTAACTTATAAGTTTCTTATAAGTCTAACCATGTTTGTCATGCAACCTTAATTAATAAGTTTTCTATCATGATGTTTCTACTAAACTAAATTAATTTACTAATTTACGTCACCAATAATTCATTGAATTAGTCTTTAAAATACTTTACTTTTTGTTTAATGAAAACAATTGTTAATTAAAACTATTCATTGCATACATTTAACACTTAATACACATACCATTTATAGCTTATTGCTATTTAAATAAAAGTTTTATCCATTGATTACTCGTATATTTTTAGCCGAAATAAATGTTTCGATTTATTTCCAGCTTTTAATTTGTTATGCAAATAGTATTTAAGGATATGGAGAGGTATTTACCGAAGAGTAGATCCCAAGTGATGGTAGGAATCCATTTCAATCTCCGCGATATACATCTCATGCCTCCTGTCTTTGATCTCCTGTTGGAAGTCGTCGGACACTTCCAACCAATCAAAGTCCTTCTTATCGGACAATTGGCGTAAATCTGTCACAGAATATGACATTCCTTTCATTCTTCGGAGTCCTTTTGTCTCATTGTTGCGATTCGAGTGAATGTTTGAGTTGTCTTGAGATGATGTCTGTGCCGAACCGTTGACCAAATCGCTGTTTATGCTATTGATGTCACCAGCGATTCCAGGACTGGTCACACGGTGTTCACCGCCAGCGGTGTTGTCCAGTATCTTATGGATGAACCGATCGCTGCCTTTCCTTCTGATGCCATCGGATCTATTGATGGCTGTATTAGTGGTCGCTTTAGGAGATCCTCTGATATTCCAACTACTCTTCGATAAAAACTTTTTGTGATTTAATTTCATTAGTGATGCCATTGTTTGCGGCAATTATTGTCTGCGGATTGGATCTGAATATATGTTTAAATAAAATACATTTTAGTTATAAAAATGATATAAATTTCTAAAATACAAAATTATTGATTTTATAGATTTTTTGTGTGAAGTTTTTCAAAAATAGAAATTTCTTTATTGTGTAATAAATTTATTGATATTATAATAAAACTCAAATGTATGTCACTTTAAAGACGTTAAAAATATTTATCAAATAATAAAATATTTTCGTTGAAAATCCCTATAAAAGTGTAAAATCTAAGTAAATCTCGAGAATAAAATCGATCACAAAAAAGCTATTTATTATAAAAAGTCATAAAAACAAAGTTTATAAATATTTGTGAAATATATAAATACAATATAAAATCAAGACTTCCTATCCATACATACGGTAGAAGTTATATATCAGGCGATGAATACCCGAAACACATATGAATTTATATAAAACACATTTCAATATGAATTAATTATTTGTCATTCAAAACAATAATAAATATAAATGTCTTGAGTCGCTGAAGAAGTGTTCATTGGGAACAGTACTTTGTGGTAACACAACCAGCACTGGTATACCACGTTGTTTAGTTGGTTACATACCATTCCTCTGATGCATTATTTAGTCACCATTGCATAACTTTATTGTTCACTATATATTTGGTGTATATGTGGTGTTATTTTCAACAAACGTGGAGATTTTTTCTATGGGTTTTGGGGTCTGACATGACATACAACTGACAGACAGTGGTGTAAGTCGATAGTGAACTGACAACTACTACGAGAGAGTAAGAGAAGTGGTAGGTATTCATGCATAAGAAGGAGCGCCCGGAGCTATCATATTCCGGTTCGCCAGAGGGGGGACACAAACCACTGGCTCCCCTCCTCACGCCCTCCCCCTCCGCTTCTCCTTATCTCTATCCCACAGTCGTATCAATGCTCTCTCTCTCTCTCTCTCTCTCT